CCAAAGCATCCACACAGCACTCTTCAAACAAGTGGTAACATTGTCCAAAGTCATAGAGCTTGTGTGCTAATTCTGTGTGTACCAACTTGGAATAATGTCCATTAGTACATTTCTGGTTTTTGTTTTTTTTTTTGAGATGGAGTTTCACTGTTGTTACCCAGACTGGAGTACAATGGCATGATCTCGGCTCACTGCAACCTCCGCCTCCTGGGTTCAAGCAATTCTCCTGCCTCAGCCTCCGGAGTAGCTGGGACTACAGGCGCGCACCACCATGCCCAACTAATTTTTGTATTTTTAGTAGAGACGGGGTTTCATCTTGTTGACCAGGATGGTCTCAATCTCTTGACCTCGTGATCCACCCACCTCGGCCTCCCAAAGTGCTGGGATTATAGGTGTGAGCCACCGTGCCAGCCCATTAGTACATTTCTAAGTTCAAAAGCAAGTTCAAAGGTAATACATTTCATCTCACCCTGTATTCATAAGAAAGAATTCTCTGTGGGTGCGTCATGCAGGTGTATTGTCACGAGCGCTGGAATGGAATGGACATGAATTTGTCAGATTATTAACCAACTCTGCCTCAGTGAGGTTGACTTGATGCCAGGGGTGGGTTGAGGGAGGGAGACAGGGGAGAGACTATCCATTTTTTCTTTTTCTTCTTTCTTTTTTTTTGAGATGGAGTCTCGCTCTGTTGCCCAGGCTGGAGTGCAGGGGCGCTATTCGGCTCACTGCAACTATGGCCTCAGGTTCAAGCAATTCTCTGCCTCAGCCTCCCGAGTAGCTGGGATTATAGGCATTCACTACCATGCCCAGCTAACATTTTTCTTTATATGCTTGTTTATTTACTCTTTGAATTGTTTGAACAAATGTGCTGTTTTATTTATTTTTTAATTTTTTTTATTTTTTGAGACCGAGTTTCACTCTTGTTGCCCAGGCTGGAGTGCAATGGTGTGATCTCAGCTCACCTCAACCTCTGCCTCCTGGGTTCAAGTGATTCTCCTGCCTCAGCCTCCTGAGTAGCTGGGATTACAGGCATGTATCACCATGCCCAGATAATTTTGTATTTTTAGTAGAGATGGGGTTTCTCCATGTTGGTTAGGCTGGTCTCGAACTCCCAATCTCAGATGATCCACCTGCCTCGGCCTCCCAAAGTGCTAGGATTACAGGCATGAGCCACTGCACCTGGCCAAATATGCTATTTTCCACCCACCACCACAAAACTATTAAAATACCGTTAAAGGGCCAGGTGTGGCTCACATCTGTGATTCCAGAACTTTAGGGGGCAAAGGAGGGTGATTGCTTGAGGCCAGGAATTCAAGACCAGCCTGGCCAACATGGCAAAACCCCCCTACTAAAAATACAAAAATTAGCTGGGTGTGGTGGGGTGCACCTGCAATTCCGGCTTGTTGGGAGGCTGAGGCACAAGAATTGCTTGAATGCAAGAGGCAGAAGTTGAAGTGAGCTGAGATCGCGCCACTGCACTCCAGCCCAGGTCACAGAGCAAGACCCTGTCTCAAAAAAAAAAAGGCAGGAGTGGGAGGGGCAGGCAGGACTGGGAATGAGGCCTCCCTGCTCAACCTGTGTGGCGCCCCTTGCTGCCACCTCCATCCCAGGGCCTCAGCCCCACGTGGCGCTTGGAAGAGCCCTGGGGAGGGGTGCCTGAGGTCAGGGCGTGGCAGCTTAAAGCAGGGCATGGTGGTGTGCCCCTGCCACACCAGCTTCTCAGGAGGCTGAGGTAGGAGGATCACCAGGGCCCAGGCCTTCGCCGGCCTGGATCGGTGAGATGGCAGAAGCCCCTCACTCTGTGACGAGGGAGAGCAGGGGAAGGCGAGGGTCCAGGGGCAATGTTGAGGAATGAGGTGCATTGCCAGACGGACTGGTGGAGGGAGGGCATTCCTAGCAGAGGGACAAACATCTCCAAGAGCAGAGGGGAGGTGCGTGGCGGGGAGTCTGCAGGGCTCAGGGACAGTGGAGCCCTGAATGCCTAGCTTGGGAGCTGAGCTCTACTCCTGGGGATTCTGAATCCCTGATGAAGCTGGGGAAAAGGAGATTGATGGAATTAGATTTGCCTTTTAGACAGAGCCCCAGGGGACAGTTTGGGGACCAGATTGGAAGGGCACCAAGTAGACGGCAGGAAGAGCAGTTGGTGGCGGGCGGGGCAGGGGTGCTCTCCAGAGACGGCAGGCGTGTAGCGCAGTTCGGGGATTTTCTGGAGGCATCTTCAGGAGCCTGGCGACCAGCTCGAGGGAGGGAGGCAGGGGAGGGGACACCGGGGCCGCTGCTGGGGTTGGGGAGGGCGGGGCGAATCAGTACTTCCTGGCGCTGAGTTTTTTTTTTTTTTCAATTTCTTATTGCTGTTGTTTTCAAGAACTCAGTTTGTATTTTATTATAAAATTGATTAGAAACACATTTTTTGGAAAAAAAAAAAAGACAAAGAGCAGCTTTTGGAACGAACTCTCTTGGAAACTTTCTCAGGAAGTGGGAAAGGGCCTGTTGTCCGGGCTGTGGAAGGAATGGGAAGGAAAGAGGTCCCCGAGGCGGCAGCAGGGCGGGGCCGCGGGGCGGGGGAGGAACGGCCAGGCCGGCAGCGACGCTAAACCCCGCACCCCTCCTAGCGCCCCTGGGCGCCACGCCCTAGCACTGATCACACGCTCCGGTGTGTGTGGCTCCCCCAGGAGCCCCCCAGGGCAGGGCAAGGGCCCTGAAGAGAAGTGCTGGGTAGGAGGCGGCTTTGCTGTCTGAAAGACGTGGCTTCCTCAGAAGGTCTGACACAAGCAGGGCACTTGCCTGGGGTTGTTCCTCAGTCCTGAGCCTTTAGCTTCCTCCTCTTTAAAATGGGGACAATCCCTGGAGCTGTTTTAAGAACGAATTAAGAAAAATCCTGTACAGCATTTAGCAACGCCCCGCCCTTCAGAAGGCCTTGGAGAGGAGCCCACCATGGATTGTCTCAGCGAGGTCTCTGACCAGGTGACTGTGGCTTACCCCTCCAAACTGTCCCTTCTACGGAGGGGGTTGGGCATGAGGGGGGAAGCCTCCACACACTCCCCATCCCCTCACGCCACCGCCACAGCCTCCCCTGCCTCCAACATCAGAGACATCACAGGTCGTCCTTTCCACCTGCTCTTGGGCCCTACCCTCCTGATAGCAGGAGACAGCTCCAACCTGACTCCGCTCCTGGCACCTCCTCCTCCTCCTCCAGCTGCCTCCTCAGCCCACCAGGCCTCTCCACTCCCACCTGCCCTGGCATGCACCACCCTGGTGCCTCATCTACTGGCCTCCTCCAGGGCATCTGCCATTCTGACCGCTTACTCCTCCAGTTCGCTCCTGCACCAGCTCCTGGAGCCCATCCTCTCCACTCACCCCCATAATTCTGCCATGAGCCTTGGAACACCCCTTATGATCCTCTTCTCCATCACGGGTGTCCCACCCACTCCCATGGGTTCACCACCTCCTTGGACGACACCATCTCCCATTGTCATCCATGGCCTAAGACACCCTGCCCAGCCCCCTCCACAGAACGAGTGCCTTGTAGCCATCTGAACTGGGCATCCTGGGGGCTCTCAAATATACCTCTAACCCCAACCCTGTCACCCTGCCCCTACACCTTGGTCAAGGGTGACACCCCGCCAGGTTCTTTGCCTCCCTGTCCCCCATCCAATCGATCCCAATTCTGCTCAATTCTGCACCCACTGCCCTCTTGGCCCCCCCCCACCCCCGCCTTAGGGGGGGCTCGGCAGCCCCTCACTGGCCACTCCAGCCTCCTGGGTGGTCCCCTTGCCCTCACCATAGCCTCAGCCCCACTGAGCTGGACTGGCCTTCTGGAGATGTCACTGTCTCCCTCTCTCTCCCCTAAACTGCTGAAAATCCTTCAGGACGCCACCATGCAAAGCAGCTCGCTGCTCCTCAGCCACCATTGACGCCTCAGCCTTTCCCCAGCCCTGCAGTGAGTGGCCCCCTTGCCTCTCTGCCCTGGGAGGGGACTGGCAACAGGCTCCCACACCTGGAGTTTGCTCTCTCCCAAGGGTGCCCGGCACTGGCATATGGCAGGCTGCCAGGAAGAGGGCCGAGGATGGGCCGGTGGGGCTCAGAGGTTCTGTCACCTGAGCGAGGGGTCCCTCAGGTGGAATTCCTCTTCTTCCAGCCCTCAGGAGGCCGGGGTAGGTCCACCCACTTGGCTCTATTGCTCCAGGGTTCCTGGAGAAAGGCCTCGGCTATCTTGGAAAGAGGCTCACCTGCTCTTGGCCTCCCCAGCCCTCAGATATGCATGAAACGTGGCTCCCAGGCCTGGCTGCCTACAGGTGGGTGGTCACTGAGGCTCACTTCTGGAGGCTGGGGGCTGCACCTGGCTAGAGGTTTCAGGGAAGGGTTAGGCCAGACTCCCAGCCCAATACTGGCACCTTTAAAGGGGGCAGGCTTCATATCCTGGCTGACACTTATTAGCTGGGTGACCTTGGGTAAGTCACTTCTCTGTGCCTCAGTTTCCCCATCAACAGGTGGTAGTGGTGCTTTGCTTTGCAGGCTGGTGGTGGAGTGAGCGAATGCATGAGAAACGTGTGGGGCATCAGGGCTCTGTGCACTCTGGCCATCTTATACCATCATTCCCAGCAGCCCCGAGCCTCACAGCCTCTGGCTCCATAGCCCTCCTTCAGCTGCAGCCCTGGGCCTCCTGCTCCCTGTGGGGGTGGCCCAAGACCCTAAGGCTCATTAATGTGATGACAACAGTGTTTAGCAACCGGTAGAGAGCGGGCGTGCAGTGCAGGGGGCTGACCCTGACCTTAGCATTTGCTAGTTTCCATGGTGTAAATAAATAACCCTGCCCTGTCCAGTTTCCAGCTGCTGTGGATGTGGTGTTGGGAAGCGGTGCTGAGTGACACACCAGGGTATGACGTCTCTACCACACGGATACAAGAGATGTGGACAATCTCAAAAGCAGAAATGATAGTCATGCGTGAACACATCACCAGGAAGTGGTTGTGTTGCAAATTACCTTTGCTCTTTTGACATACTTTGTGAGCTTATGTAATTTAATTTTTAATGATGGCTATGCTTGACTGCCCCGTGACATGACTGAAATATGGATAGCTGGCTCGCCCAAGCAGGTCCAAAGTGGCCCCTGACCTCCACGATGCTGTGCTATACCCTCTCGTCCAGGGCACCAGGAGCTGCTCTGAGAACTCTGTGGGGCTGGCATTGGCCTGCCTTCTCCTCGTCCCAGGTGTCACTCTTTGTAACATCACATTTAAGCAGGGGCTGCCTCTGGGTTTCTCCTTATAGCCCATGTTCAATCCTAGGACCCTCACTCCTGGCCCCTTGGTGTGCTAGTCACCTCCCACCCAAGGTTAAAAAGCATAGGGTTTCTAGCCAGGTGTGGTGGCATCCACCTGTAGTCTCAGCTACTCAGGAGGCTGAGGCAGGAGAACTGCTTGAACCTGGGAGTCAGAGGTTGCAGTACCCATTTTAGGCAGGAGGAATGTCTATTTGGCTGCTCTATTATTACTCAGCGTCTTCTACAAACTGGAAGTTATGCAGGGGCTTCACACATGACCCTGGCCTGCTGTCCCAGGCGTCATCACCCCCAGCTGGGCCAGAGTCCTCCACTCAGAGCCTGGTGAGTGGGGGCCATTTTGGAAACTTAAGAGACTAGCTAAACCCACCAGGCACCAAATCTCAATCATTCTTGGCCACAGCCCACTCTGCATCCACCCACTGACAATCCATCCCCTTGAGCCCCAGAAACTGGCTGCCCATGGCGTCCACACTCTTCTAATCCCAGCCTCCTCCCATGGCCTCCAGTCCCTCCTAATCCCAGCCTCCCCCTCCCACCTCCACACTGTCCTAATCCCAGCCTCCCCCTCCCACCTCCACACTGTCCTAATCCCAGCCTCCCCCTCCCACCTCCACACTGTCCTAATCCCAGCCTCCCCCTCCCACCTCCACACTGTCCTAATCCCAGCCTCCCCCTCCCACCTCCACACTCTCCTAATCCCAGCCTCCCCCTCCCACCTCCACACTCTCCTAATCCCAGCCTCCTCCTCCTCCCCTGGCCTCCACACTCCCCTAATCCCAGCCTCCTCCTCCTCCCCTGGCCTCCACACTCCCCTAATCCCAGCCTCCTCTCTGAATGGGTTGCCTCCTCCTGTGCTGGGCGTTCTCTGTAGACTCAAGTTATCCCTCCATCCTGCTCCTCCCACAATGCCCCACCCACAGCAAGGCCCTCAGATCCACCAAGGCCCTGGTCATCCCGTCCCTCCCTTCTTCATGCCTCCCTCCCTGCCCAGTGACAATCCCCAAGTCTTGTCGATTCTAACCCCAGAATGTCCCGCAAATCCTCCACTCCTCTCTATCCCATTGTCCTGCCCTGGTCTGGCCTGGGCCACCACCAAAGGTCTGCTAACTGGGCCTGAGAATTTTTCCTTTCTCCCTTTTCATCCATTCTTTGCAGAATGGATGAAAGCCAGATGGCCTGAGACCATCTCTTCCTGGTCTCCCTGTTGAAAGTGCCCTCTTGATGTGAAGTCGCCCCACTGTCCGGATGCTCCTCTCTCCCCTGCCCATGGCTCTGTCCTCAACCCTCTTGTCCCTCGACCACAGCTCCAATCAACATCTGTGGGTGGACACTCACTTCCTCTCCTGCCCACTCAGTTTCCCAGCTGGCTGGTGGACATCTGTCTGCAGATGCCTGGGCAACCCCAATCTAATGCGTTCCACATCCACATCCAAATTCCTCACTGCTGCCCTAACGGCCCCCTCCCTCTCTCTCCACTCCTGCCTGCTGCCCTCCCAAACTCTTCCCTCCCTCTCAAGAGCCCCATCCTTGGGCCTCCTCGTTACATGGTCTCCAACTGCCAACACCAGCTCTGCCATCCTCCTCTCCCTCAGCTCCACGAGCCACCATCGGGTCCTCCCCACCTCCTGCTCCCAACACCACCATCTTGGTTCTCCTTCCCAAGTGCTGAGCACAGGGCCCTGGAGAGCGCAGGCTGAGACTGTGAGAATGAGCTGCCCTTTGCCTCAGCCGTTCACTCATCCAACAGTGATTTATTGAACACCATGGACCAGGCATGGTGCACAGCGGCTGGGATGCAGCGCTGAACAAGAGATGAGCCCCCCCGCCCTGGATGGACTCATATCCCAGCAGGGGTAAACAGCCAGTCACTTCAGAAACCAAATCTCTGGTCTGTCAGAGTGCCACAGGAAAGTTACGCTGAGCAAGGACAGGCAGTGCCAGGCAGGGGTGCCACTGCACGGAGTGAGGGGGAGGCCCTCCTCCCTGGAGAGGGCAGCATGATCCTAGTGGGCCAAGGTCAACCACCAGGGCCAAATGGAACACAGTGCACACTCTCAAGAAGACATCCCAAATCAAAATCCAGGGACTTTTTTTTTTTTTAATTAGAGATGGGGTTTCACCATATTGGTCGAGCTGGTCTTGAACTCCTGACCTCAGGTGATCCACCTGCCTCGGCCTCCCAAAGTGCTGAGATTACAAGTGTGAGCCACCACACCCAGCCGGGACTTTCTTTCTTAACCTTTAAACTGGAAACACCTCTTGCTACCAGGATGGGGCATGGGGCAAGGGGCTCAGTGTTTGGGGAAACAGAGTGGGTCTCTTTTGCTGAACAGACTTTCGTTTTCTTAAATTTTGAACTACATGAATGTAGTTCATTTTTTGAAAGGAAAAATTGAAGTAGGAAGTAATTTTAAGTCTTTTGGAAAGAATTAATCATTTTCATGGAACTACTTCCCTACAGGGGGCCTGTTTCACATCTGCCAACTTCTGCTGAAAGACTGCAGATGGAGAGAAGGGAGAGAGTCGTAATCCTGAAGATGGCATTCACCAGCCTGCCAGCGTCAACGCCACTGTGCTGGCATGTGAGTACGCTGCACCCTGGGCTAACAATCACCACAGTGGGACTGGCCCCCTCTTGTGGGAAGGGAGACTCAGGAAGGTGAAAATCAGGACATCTGCCAGGAGCCGACAAATCCCTCTGGGACTCTCATACCTCAGACTCTCCAGTTTGGCTGTTGCTGAACTCGGACCGGCCCCACCACTGATCTGAATATTCCTATCATTGCTGTATCCTATTTGGAAAGCGCTTACTAAAGACTGGTCCACAAGATGAGATTTAGCTGCGCTGGTTCAAGCCTGGCTCCCCTGCTGTCTTTTCTGGTGAAGCTGGGCCAAGAGGGTCTTAGCAAGTGGGCTCCATGGTTGTGGAGGTGGTGGGGAGAGACGGCTGGCTCTATATGTGGCAGAGGCCTGAATAAACAAGGATCTGAGAGGGCTCAAGATACCCTGACTTAATCCTCAATGTGGCAAGTGCGGGGCCATGGCCAGGCCTAGCAGAAAGGCCTGTTTGGGGTATGGCCCAGCAAGGCGTGATGTGCTCAGGTAGAAGTAGGAAATGGGTTGCCGTCCTCTAACTACTCCATGTATCACAGAGCCACTGACTGCAGTCTCCACAGAGTCCGATGAGAGACTCAAAGAATGAGGCAGCCTTGTTCCTAGTTTCAGCCAGTGTGTGTCATGTCCAGGCCCCAAAAGGGCGACACCAGCTCAGGTTCCCACCCTCCAGAAGCTGGCACAGGTGGCAGTGGGTTTCCAAGGGAGGCAGCTCATTCATAACACATAACGAACCTTCTGTTCCCGTGAGGAGAATGTATTTTAAACTTGGGAAGAGTCATAATTCTGGATGTTCCACATGTTGTCAGCTTTAACCTTCTACAGTCACAGGACCTCTCCTCTGTGAGTAGGAACCACTGGCATGTGTGGGTGGAGAGGGTCCCTCTCCCTATTAGCAGGAATGTGGTGGGCCTGTGCTAGCTTTATGATTTGGATTGTGTCCTGCACATAACACCTGTGAGAACACAAGTGGGACTGGGACAGTGCAGGAAGCATCTTCTTCATGAGGCGGTAATCAAAAGGTATGACAATACAAGAGGATTCTGGAGGCCGGGCACAGAAGCTCATGCCTGTAAAGCCAGCATTTTGGCAGGCCAAGGTGGCTGGATCACTTGAGGTCAGGAGTTCAAGACCAGCCTGGCTAACATGGTGAAACCCTGTATCTACTAAAAATACAAAAATTAGCCAAGTATGGTGGTGGGTTCCTGTAATCCCAGCTACTGGGAAGGCTGAGGCAGGAGAACTGCTTGAACCCAGGAGGTGGAGGTTCCAGTGAGCTGAGATCCTGCCACTGCCACTCCAACCTGGACAACAGAGCAAGACTCTATCTCAAAGAAACACAAAAGGATTCTGAGTATAACAATCTCAGTATAGCCAGTGGGTGACTCTGATTCTCCTAAAATCCTGTCCTTACTTGCACTTACCACATCCCCAGATCTGTAGGGCCAGGCCTTTTCTACCTACCTATGACCCCTCACCAGCAAGGGAAGGCCACGGGACCTCAGAAGCCTGTGGTACTAAGGATGAAGACTCTAGTGAGAGAAGGGGCTCAGCCCTAGTGAGGAGGTTCTGGGAAGCAGGACACTCCCTTGGGAGCGTCTGTATGAGAGGTAAAGGTCCAGGTGGCTTGGGCACACTGACTTCCTGCTGAGGAAGGCAGGGCCCCTCACATCTGCAGGGCCGTGTGCATCAGAGAGCGGCATGGCTGCACATGTGAGAACTGGGTCAACAGGAATCCCGTCCCCATTCCAAGTCAAACAGTCTTCCCCAGACACAAAGGTTCTGGGATCTGAGGCTTCCCTCTTCTAAGGCTCAAAATGGGTTCTGTTTGCAGACGTGCTCATCTTTGCTTGCCTTAAGGACTCAATTTCAGCCCAATCCCTGACCCTCAGACAAACTGGGACAGGTTGGGAACTTTAATGTTGAGATCGCCAATGTTGATGTTCCGAGGAATCTCAGGCAGGTTGATGTTCTTCACGGCAGACACGGCCCGTGCAGGGGCTGCTGAAAGGCCACCCTGACAAGAAATGAGAGGTGAGTATCACACAAATTCCCAGTGTTATCTGCTTAATGCTAAAAAAAAAAAAAAGCAAAAACCAAAACAAACAAGCAAACAAAGTAACAGGTGAGGGATCCCTAGAAAAATTCCAAACTGAGCACATACAACAGAAGTTTTAATTCCCCCCTTAGTCCTCAAAAGTAGCCAACAAAGCAATGTTGAGGTTAGGCGGGGTGTGGCGCAGGGATGCAAGGCCTGCAGTCCACAGACACCCGCTCCTCAGAGGTGGGTGTGGCCCATGCAGCTTCACAGCACCAGCATCTCACAGTGCCTGGTGCATGGTGGGTGCTCAATAAATGCTGAAATCATCTCAGGTGGTTTGTCAGGGGCACTTTTTGCAAGAAACTGAAGACTCCCTGTGCAAATCACAGGGAAATTCTTAAAAGGAAAAGGAAAGTCACAGCTCTAGGGCAACTGCTTGCCAACTAACGTGGGATGAAGGGAGCTGGCTTTGGACGTGTCATGTGGCAACAAGCTGGGAGTCAGTAACATGCAGAAGGTGGGGGTCACAGATACAGAAGGGCTGGTGACAAAGTGCAAAGAGTACGGACATCTACAGCCAACCCCATCGGCCAGGCTCACCGCCATGTGGGGAGAAGGGGAAAGGTGGGTAAAGTCTGTCTCACAATCCTTCTTCCCCTATTGCTTTCTTTCCGGATACCAACTCCGATTCTGCCCTCACCCAGCAACTCTCCATTCCTTCTCATTTCTAACCCCCTTGCCTCTGACTCACTTACTATTCCTGGAATTTTCCCAGCCTACATTTCTGAAACAACTATAGCTGCCACAATAGCTGTGGTCTGGAAAAGCTTCTTTAGCAGGACTGCCAGTCCTCACAGAAAGAATAATTCCTGGTTTCGCAAGATCAAGTTGTGTTATACAAGGCAAAGAAGCTCTTTAAGACACTCAGATAATTTTTTTTTATTTTTGAGACGGAGTTTCCCTCTTGTTACCCAGGCTAGAGTGCAATGGCGCGATCGTGGCTCACCGCAACCTCCGCCTCCTGGGTTCAGGCAATTCTCCTGCCTCAGCCTCCTGAGTAGCTGGGATTACAGGCACGCGCCACCATGCCCAGCTAATGTTTTGTATTTTTAGTAGAGATGGGGTTTCACCATGTTGACCAGGATGGTCTCGATCTCTTGACCTCATGATCCACCCTCCTTGGCCTCCCAAAGTGCTGGGATTACAGGCGTGAGCGATCGCGTCCGGCTGAGACACTCAGATAATTAAAGAGGTAATTTGGTCAGCTATTTCTGCATGTGAAAGTACACATGTGTAATCTCTGCACCCTGGTAAGGCTAAGGAAGGGGATGGAGAGACCTCAGAGGGAAGGGACAGAATTCATGTGAACATCTGTACCAAAACCAGCACCAGGTGGGGGTGGACTGGGGTATGTTATTTCCAAACCTAGCCCAGACTCTACTGTTGTTTTTTTATAAGGCTAACTGGAAATAAGGAAACTGGCAACTCTGAGGTCTAAAAGACACCAGGAGAAATGGCTGCTGGGAGATCAGACTCACAGAGCACAGAAACTAGGAAACCACATTGCAATAGGAGAGGGCTCTGGGTCCCTCCAGGGAGGCAGCGGCTCTGAAAGGAGGAATTACAAACCACAGACATGGGCCACAGCCCCCAGGCCAGAAGCTGTGTGCCTTCCTCTGCCATCTGGCTTTTCCATTCACTCTTCCACCCCGGAAGTCTGAGGTTTTAAACCTTGTTACCTGTTCTATTTTCGAGGCTGATTGACCTTCAAATCCATCAGTTTCAATGGACCCAGGAAGAATAAAGATGAGTGTAAAACATTTCCTGAGGTTTCACAGCAACATAAACCAACACATATACACACTTCTGCTTCTGCCCAGATTTTCTCTAACCAGCCAGGGCTAGAGCACAGCTGCTTGCTCACCTCGGATTTCTCCAGCCTGTTTTGAGCTTCGATCTGAGCCACAATTTCATTCATGTTTGTTTCCAACACCATCCCACCCATCACCACCTCCTGGAGAATGTAGTGCACCTAAAGAGGAAGCAGAAACCAGAAGAGTCAGGAAAGTCTGTGGTGGTCACGGTGTAGCCCACAAGGTTTCCTTGTCCTGCAGCAGCAGAGTGGTCAGATATGGCACCAGGGCCTGATGCACAGCTCAGACACTCAAGCCCTCCTGCTCATCCACCTCTCCAGGGATACCACAAGGGGTCCCGCCCAGGTCTTGGCACATCACAACATGAATCTCTCCCCTCAGGGATAGAAGTAGATACCTGGCTACACTCAAGGCAGTGAGGTGGCAGCACGAGCACAGGCTTCAAAGTCACACAGCTCTTGTTTAAATTCTGGCTCTGCTACTTGCTAGCTGGGTGGCCCTGGGCAAATTTAAAGTATTTCAGCTTCCTTCCAGGATTGCAGTGAGGGCTGGATGAGATAAATGTGTGTAGAGCACCTAGCCTGGTACCCAGGACACACTGTGTTCTAAGGAAGAAATGATGGCTTTTACTATTAATATTATCACCATCTACACTGACTGTCATTAAGTAGTAAATCCAGCTATGACAGAATAATCCGTATCCAAGCAGCTGAAATGAACGTCTCCCACCTTCCATAAGGCAGATCCTCCAGCCTGTGCTCCATTGGAGGGATGTGATCAGAGCAAGATAGAGCCCAATTCCTTTGCACCCATCCTCACCTCATTTCTTACCACTTAGATTAGAAAGCAAATTCAACATAAGCACCTTTCTAAGCACGAGGCTCACATCTGGGCTCAGGTTCCATCCAGCCAGTAGTCAAACAAAGCCGAATCTCAGCGTACCAGTGTGTTTAGTCAAGTTGGTAAGATAGCAAGTACAACCTTGTATTATTAACTAGTTACCAAATGATCGGGATAGTCCTAGGGGAGGTCAGAGAAGAAAGGGAACAGTGGCTAGAGAGATGGGAGAGCTACACAGAGACAGTGGGAGGGCTGAAGTTGGGCTCTGACCTCAGAGAAGCAGGGAAAACAATTCAGGTAGAAGGCACTAGAAGGAGCAGTTCAGCTGGTCTATGGGCAGGTATGCGGAGCTCCTGGATCTGGTTGGGATGGCAACTTGATTTATGCAAGAGAGAGGCTAAGACAAGGCTGAGAACATAGTTTGGGTCTGGAACAGGGCTTCTCAGCCCGGGTGCTAGTGACATTTGGGGCCAGTTAATCCTTTGCTGTGGGGCTGTGCTGTCACTGTGGCCTGTTCACTAGCATCTCTGGTCTCTACTCATTAGGTGCTAGTGGTACTCCTCTAGCTTGGCTATCAGAAATGTCTCCAGAAGTGTCATGTGTTTCGCGGGCAGACTCACCCCAGCTGAGAACCACTGGTCTAGGGTCTAGAGGCAACCAGCAGTTGACTATGTAAGCAATGGAGAGTGAAGAAGAAAGACATGTCTGTGTGTCTGGGGCTTGTGTACTTTTGGCATCGGCTTGGCTCCCTGTATTTTACTCTCAGTAAGTGCAGAGACTTCTGATCTTGAGGACATAGCGAAATAAATCAAATGTATTCCTTGTATGTGTGCCCACAAAGCCTTATCAACCACTGTTCTGTCTACATACACACACACTCTCATGAGACATTTTCACATTTTATATAATATGAATTATTCATTAGCTATATCCAAATGAAGATTTAATGGTAAAAGTCTCATACTTAGATAATTTACAAAATGTTAAACAAGACTGGTTTTAAAATTATTCCCTGGGGAAATTCCACTGTTTATATTTCAAGAAATACGACTCTGAAAACAGTATGATGGTTCCTCAAAAAATTAAAAACGGAATTACCATATGGTCCAGCAATTCCACTTTTGGTATACACTCAAAAGAACTGAAAGTAAGGACTTGAAGAGAATGTGCACACTCACGTTCATAGCAGAATTATTCACAACAACCAAAAGGTGGAAGCAGCCCCATTGTCCATGAACAGATGAATGGATCAACAAAATGTGCCCCATACATGCAACGGAATATTATGCAGCCTTAAAAAGGAAAGGAATTTTTTTTTAAATCTGAATTAAGACGCTGTAAAAGGGAAGGGAATTCTGACACATACTGCGACACAAATGAACCTTGAAGATACTATGATAAGTGAAACGACCCACACACAAAAGGATGAAGACTGTGTGATTTCACTCCTGGGAGGTACCCAGAGTAGTCAAATTCAGAGAGAAACTGGACTGGGGCTGCCAAGGGCAGGGGAAGATGCTGCTCCAGTATGGAGGTGCTGTTTTGCAAGATGAAGAGCTCCGGAGATGGACGGTGGTGACCACTGCACAACAGTGTGGACACAGAACTGTCAGCTTCAAAATGGGGAAGACAGTAAACTGTAATGTTACATATTTTACCAAAATTTAATAAAAAAAGAGAGAAATAGTCCTCTATACCTGCACTTTTTTCTTTTTTTTGAGACAGAGTCTCTCTCTGTTGCCAGGTTGGAGTGCAGGGGCACAATCTCGGCTCACTGCAACCTCCGCCTCTTGGGTTCAAGTGATTCTCCTGCCTCAGCTTCCCAAATAGCTGGGATTACAGGCACCGACCACCACCATGCTTCGCTAATTTTTATTTTTAGTAGAGACGGGGTCTCACCATGTTAGCCAGATGGTCCTGATCTCCTGACCTCATGATCGGCCCACCTCGGCCTCCCAAAGTGCTGGGATTACAGGAGTGAGTCACCGTGCCCGGCCTGCCTTCACTTTATGTATGAAGAAACTGATACATTTTATATATGAGGAAAAGGCAATAAAACGATCCCAATGTCATGTATATTAGTAGCAGATTGGTGTTGATTCCAGAGCTCACATTCTACGCTTTACATCATACTTCCTCAGAATCCCAAACTATGTCTTCCATTCTATTCATCCCTGACCCCTAGTCCATATGAAATCATAAGACTTGCCTTTGGTGTGTCAAGATCTTGTATTAATTCTTTCATGCTTTATGTCCAAGGCCTAGAACAATGCCCAGAGTAGGCATGCTGAATGAATAAAAGGCTCTTCATAGATCTGAGTGGCATATTCCTTGGGCTTTAGGGACTTGGAAGATGAGGCCGGGCACGGTGGCTCACGCCTATAATACCAGCACTTTGGGAGGCCGAGGTGGGTGGATCACGAGGTCAAGAGATCGAGACCATCCTGGTCAACATGGTGAAACCCCGTCTCCTAAAAGTACCAAAAAACTGGCTGGTGTGGTGGTGCGTGCCTGTAATCCCAGCTACTCGGGCGGCTGCGGCAGGAGAATTGCTTGAACCCAGGAGACGGAGGTTGCGGTGAACCAAGATTGCGCCATTGCACTCCAGCCTGGGTAACAACAGTGAAACTCCGTCTCAAAAAAAAAAAAGGGACTTGGAAGATGGACAACAGTGTGCTGGTGGGGGCTTTATGGAGAAGGTGTAGCAAAAGGTCTAATATATGATGTCGTGGAGACTAGAGTCTGGTTAACAGAAAAAGTCAGTTAAAACTTGGATTCAACACTGCACCATAAAGTCAGCGTTTTCAAATGCTGTTCAAAATGTGTTCCAAATGCAAAAGGAAGAAATAAAAATGCAAACTCCATTTTGGTTATAACTAGAGGATATCCAAAATTCCAAACCCTCAAACAGGTAGAAAAGCTGTCAAAAGCAGGGAGCTCAGGCAGGGACTCCTTCGCTTCACAGAAGGAAAAGAAGAAAGAATGCTACAGGGAGAGGACACAGGAGCTGGAGATATCAGAAACATCTGCAAAAATATGTACTTCCTGTGGGTGAAGGACACACTCTGGTACCAAATTAATTCCTTGTTTTAAGAAGGCAGGAACGTCCTTGGACCTGAAGTAGAGGCTAAATAAGAAATCACACCAGCTATATTTGCCTCACACTCTGTGGCAGTGGGGAAGACATCCTTTGCATGTGGAGATGCTGAGAGACACCTTGCCTATCTCAATTGGCTGCCTAGAGACAAAGGGTAAATGAACTCACCCAGAACCCTAAGTCAAGGGAACAAGGGCAGCCAGCCCAGAACACAGTCTTGGTAGCTCCCCCAACAAGCATCCTGCAAACAGCTGGTCCCTGAAAAACCTATTTAAAGACGCATATACAAAAAACCTCAACAGGATCTAAATAAATATACAAGAAAAAAGTAGGAAAGAAATAGGAAAACCAAATGGCAGACTAAGACCATAGACTGGAAAAAGGGCTCCATGGACTAGATAAAGTGGTAATACAATATTTTACACAACAACAAAAAAAGAAAACTTGATAAAATAGTTGCCTCATGAAATGAGAGCTCAAAGCAGAAATGCAATAGCTTTGCAGACTCAGGGAGACAAGAAGAGAAGACAAGCTATATACGAGCAGAACTGAGGAAAGAAGTGAAAGGAAAAATACGGTTACAGAATGAAGGTGAAACTGGAAGAAGCGAAGGGAGAAGAGACAGTAGTATGCTAAAAACACATTGGGAAGAAAAGGGGAGATATGGAAAAAAATAAATGAAACGAAAAGGGGCTAAAAGGTATAGAGAGGAAACAGTTACAGAAGACAGGAAAGGAGATGCAATATTTGCATAAAAGAAAACTTTAACATGAATGTGAAAAATATGTAAAGATATGTTCATAAAGATAGAATCCAAGATGTTTCTGAACTATAAGAGGACTGGGGTCTACATATTGAAAGGTCACACGGTATCCCAGGGAAAACAAATTCAGAACAGGCAGTGCCAAGAGACAGCTTTAGATAAGATTTCTGGCTTTCTGTAACCAGGCAAAAAGACCAAATCATTTAAAAGAGGGGCAAAATCATGAAAATGTCCAGGTTAATATTTAATGCTAACAGAAAAAAGGAACAATATTGACAGAATTCTCAAGGACAGAAGTGTGACTCAAGGACTTTACCCCTAGTCAACTGTCCAACAAGGGTAACAGAATGGGGACCATTGTTCCCAAGTATTTATTTTTCTTTCTTTTTTTTTTTTTGAGATGGGAGCTTTGCTGTTTCTCCCAGGCTGGAGTGTAATGGCGTGATCTCGGCTCACCA